ATTTCTTAGTAATTAGCAGTGATATTGGACAAACTAATACGCGTTTGGCTATAAGGTAATGTACTTATTAACTACACAAGGTGCCAGTTACTGTAGCATTCGTCAACTTTGCACAATCGATGGAAATATTATGCCTTTAACATTAACATTAGACTTAAAATTAATCGTAACTTTACGAAGTTTCTGACAACGGGCCCCTGGTGACAAGCAAAGACTCACGTGACATGGATATAGCTAGGGAAGACATTTGATAAAATGTAATCTTAGCCAGGAATGTTATGCTCTAGGAAATACTAGGGAATACAAGATCACATGGTTTTTGTGGAAATTTCTATGCCTGTGTAGGGTCTGACCTAGGTCGTGGATGCTGGTACGAACCTGTACCAGGCCTAACCCAATCTTAACTCTAAGCCAGTATGGGTCTGTATGTCTAATAGTAATAGGCAGTGGCTGGAGGTATGGCAGCCGTATTTCCCCCAATTTACGAGGCTGGAGGTACGGCAGTCTATTCGCTTTCATACAAACGAGACAAAGATGGCGGCAGATTTCGAAATAATGCATTGAGAAATAAATTCACGATTTGAGTTTTGATGAACTAGAAAACACTCCGATTAGATATGAAAAGTAACATTATTGTAAACTTTACATCAGAAGATCGCAAACAATTGCATCAGCCTCAAACAAACGCCAAAAAGGGGATTCAACAAACGACGGCTGCCGTACCTCCAGCCACTTCCCTAGTAATCTGGCACCACTACCAGGTTATTTAAGCTGAGAGGGTCTATGTCCCCCAGGGTACTGCATGAACGTACCCTGGTACTATCTAATAGTAATATGCCGGACCATACCTCGCCTACTCCACTAACGAGTCTAGGGAGTCGCCTACGCCTACTCCCTAACCATATCAAATAGTTACCAGGGTACGTTCCGACAGTACCCTGGGGGGCATAGACCCTATAGCCGCGTTCACACGGAGCGAAGGAACTCGGGTCGAAAACGACCCGTGTCAAATGCGTCCCGGGACGCAGCGTTGCCACGGCGTTTTCTCGGTACGAAACACTGTGGTGCGGAAGACCGAGGCGTTTTGCACCACTCCGAGTTGGTGCGAAAACGGACTCGGGGCGAAAACGAACCGGTCCTGGTTCATTTTGGCGTGTGAACGCGTGACTCGGGTTGGAATTAGTAGTACAACACAAAAGTAAACAGAATAGTTGGAAGTCAGTCAGAGAGTTTGATTGTTTAATTCGCATTGTTCGCTTGGACGCATTGTACTTTTTTCTCAGCTCGCATCTTTCGCATAGCGTCGTGTGAACGCTCTCTTCAACGACGCTCCGTGTCGTTTTCGACACGGGTCGTTTTCGACCCGAGTTCCTTCGCTCCGTGTGAACGCGGCTTATGACTCATGAGCGTTATTTAGATCTCTACTCACTGAGAGTAGTACTCTCGCATTGACAGCCATGCACTGGCTACCGCTACGAGGTTTTCATACCTTTGCTGCATTTTCAATATACTCTGGTTGTCTTCTGTCAGATTTTTTGTGAACAAATACAGACACTTTCGAACCATCCTTCTGCACTGCAGGATGTAACGTCCAGCCTTGTGGAATGTCCGTTTCAAATGGCTCGTCCAACTTACAATCTTGGATAGCGCTATACTCACTTCCCATATCAGAAAATTGTTCAATGCGCTACCATCCCTTTACTATATAGTATGATAATGGTGCTATAGCTAACCTGTTACATTTACTAATACTGTAGACTCGCAAAAAGTACAAATAATTATATCCTACAATTCCTGTTACAATTCTACATTGGGCGCTGACATATTTGCTACAAACGTCGCCGTGCGGATGTTTTATGCGGTCTCTCACTTGCCAGTTGATATAGTAATTACTATCATAATTGCATAAAAAGAAATAACATCAAAGACTGAAAATATTTCTAAAAAAATTGATATGTAAATTCTTGACAAAGTTTAATCATTATAGTTTATACTAGGCCTACATCTATTTGTTTTTGTTTTGAATTTTTTTTTATAGATGGGTAAGTTTTTGTCCAGCTTGAGAAATATTATAGAAGACTACTTAAGAAGCGGAGAGATGGAACCCGACTATGTTTGCAACCGGCGCTACCTACCGGGCAATTGTTGCGCAAACGCGCCGAAATTATGGCCAACAAAAAGCGTAATGAGTTCGTCTTCAACATGAATGGTCACGTCGAGCCGCAGCGGCCGTTTTTAATCGGCGTAGCTGGTGGAACTGCATCAGGAAAAGTTAGTAAATATGTTTTACAATAAATATTCATAAATAAATAAATAGTAAATGAAAACCATTAGTTAAAGTGAATTCGTATGCGTGACAAAGCCGGGCATGTGGCACTGACGTGTTTAATTGAAGGACTCGCACTCGCAGCTAGGGCCTGCATACCTCCCAAATCCTAGATACAAAAATCTAACCCAAACACAGGATAGGGTTACAACGCGAGTGTGTCTTTTTGTGTGGAGGAACCCCTGAGTGAATCACTCAGGGCGGTTTGCTGGTGCGTTTTCAGAGACTAGAACTTCCAAACTGGGTTTATTCTCAACACGAACCTTTCTCCGCTATCCTGGAACTTAGTAGTACTACTACTAGTCTATGTATCACAATACTCTGTATTAAACTAATATAACCTGTTACAAAAATTCGAAGTGACGAACGGCGGATATTTCGAGCGCCATTTCTGTTGACCTGTGACGTACGCATTCCCAATGCGGATAGCGTTCGACTAACTTCGTCATGATGTCACGACTGACAGCAGGCATCCCATGATACATTCGATCTTGGAGTCTAAGTTAGCCGAACGCTATGCACATTGGGAATGCGTACGTCACAGGTCAACAGAAATGGCGCTCGAAATATCTGCCGCTCGTCACTTCGAATTTTTGTAACAGGCTATATTAGTTTAATACAGAGTATTGTGATACATAGTAAGTTCCAGGATAGCGGAGAAAGGTTCGTGTTGAGAATAAACCCAGTTTGGAAGTTCTAGTCTCTGAAAACGCACCAGCAAACCGATCACCACAGACACGGATCACTACAAAGACACGGATCACTACAAAGACACGGATCACCACAGACACGGATCACTACAGACACGGATCACTACAAAGACACGGATCACTACAAAGACACGGATCACCACAGACACGGATCACTACAGACACGGATCACTACAAAGACACGGATCACTACAAAGACACGGATCACCACAGACACGGATCACTACAGACACGGATCACTACAAAGACACGGATCACTACAAAGACACGGATCACCACAGACACGGATCACTACAGACACGGATCACTACAAAGACACGGATCACTACAAAGACACGGATCACCACAGACACGGATCACTACAGACACGGATCACTACAAAGACACGGATCACTACAAAGACACGGATCACCACAGACACGG